GGCCTCAGAGTTGGCATCGTATTCATTGATTTTCGCAAGGCGTTTGACTCGGTTAACCACACTATCCTCCAAGAAAAGCTAAAGGCAATGGGTATTGCGGGTAACTTCCTGTCCTGGTTTTGCAGCTACCTTAGTAATCGTCGTCAATTTGTACAACTATCTGGGACCAAGTCGAATCGCAGATTTATCAAGTATGGAGTTCCTCAAGGATCCATTTTAGGTCCAAAGCTTTTTTCTGTCTATGTGAATGACTTTCCTGATGCCATCTCCGATGGTGAGTTATTTATGTTCGCAGATGACACCACCATCTTTACTATTGGCAAGGATGTTGACAGTATAATAGTAATTTTACAATCTATCCTGAAGCAAGTCCTTTCGTGGTGTACCTCAAACAGACTGACAACTCATGAGATTAAATCCGAGGCATTACTGCTCTCAAAGCGTGCCTTCATTGGACCACTGCCACAATTGAAGAGTGGCCAAAACTTCCTAAAATTTACGGACACAGCACAATGCCTTGGGCTAGCGATTGACCGGCAACTATCCTGGAATGACCATGTTCAAATTGTGTGTAAATCATTCAACAAGAAACTAGGTGTTTTGAAGAGAATTAAGTTTTTACCTAAGTCCACCTTGGAGACTATCTATTTCAAGACCATAATCCCATCCGTCCTATATGGAGTTGCTGTTTGGGGATCATGCTCTTCGGCCTTACTGGAGAAACTTGAGCGTATTCACGCACGAGCTGCGCGGCTAATCTATAATCTACCGAGGGAAACAACCATAAATGACTTGAGAAATCTAAAGGGTTGGTCTCCCCTTTCCCACTTCTACACAAAAAGGATCCTATCAATAACTTACAAATCATTCCATGGGCTCAATAATGATCTACTTAATAAACTAGTTACAAAAAGTGCCCAAGTGTATGGCCTTAGAAAATCCTTGAACATAAATGTAACAAGACCAAAAACTGAAACAGGACGATTGACCTTTAAACATAGGGCTGCCATTGCTTGGAATACCCTCCCGGACAGCATAAAGGAGGCGTCCAGCCTTGAAGCTTTCAAAGAAAAACTGAAGAAAAACAAACTGATCTTGAGCAGTATATCTTATTCAAAGGAATCTTCATCAATTACGAATAAGGACGATATTTATACATATTTTTGAACTAATTATTGTAATACTAGGAACTTCTATATATATGTACATATTTCTATTTCTCAATTAAGTGTAAAGTTTTAAATTAGTTAACAGGTTCACATCAGGACTTTAGTCTTGCCTACCTAGTAACCCGCTTTATCAAATAAACCATGTATGTATGTATGTATGTATGTATGTATGTATGTGGACATTATGCTCCCGCATTCATTGGTCAGCGGATTGGAGTCGGATGAAAACAAAGATAGTGGTTAAGACAAGTTCCATATTAAATATCGAGCGATTTAAGTTCTGTGGACCTTCTTTATGGAGAAAAAAGCAGAAAGAAAAAAACAGCTTTGAACATATCTCTTGGTATTTTTAAGGCAGAACGACTTATAGCAATTTGCTGTCTGATGTAATGCAAAGGACAATATGTACAAAGCTTCAGTGTCCATTCAAACTGGCTTTATTTCTAATCGTCTACGGATGTCAGACATTTTGGAAATTGTAGCTTAAACCACTTGCATTAAATAATGGGAAGATCCAGGCAAATATTACTTGAAAAGGGCTTTTTCTCCCAGTTGAAAACACGGTTCAACGAACGTACTATACAGATCTCTTTGATCTGCTTCCTAATTTTCGCGCGAGAAAATAAATTTGTTCAAGGCTCTACTTTAGTATGAGAGGGTCTGGATTGAGTTTATTTCCCGTCAACATTGCTAAATAAGAAAAACAAATATGGCGACAGATTAAAGGTTTCGCAGAGGGTTTTTCTTTTAAAGCTTTCCCTTCTGGTGCGTTCTCAAGGATGGTCTCAGATCACAGACTCCACAGAGCAAAAATAGCAATTTTCAAGCTCTTTTGGAAGTATCCTATTGTCAAGAAATGTTTCTTTTTATGGACGATTTGCTTACTTCGAACTTCCCTTTATTTAATGCGAGTCGGAGCTAGTTGACTTCTTGGAGGGTTGCTCAACTGGGAGGTTGAGGTTCCCAACTGGGAGGCGTACAGGCTTCAATTAGACTGCATGAAAGGGTTGAGATCTGAGTCAACACACTGGCGAATAACTTGCAGCTTCCATCCTACAAGTGTTGTCAACTATCGAGATTACGTTCGCGCAAGGTTTATAAAACTTCGACTTGTTAACTTATGATGGCGATGCAACTTGCGAACACGTGGATTACATTAACGTCCATGGACACAGCTGTGAAAGCTGCACCATGCTTTGGTATCAATCCAACGGGTCCATTTTAGTCCACCGAAGCTTTGATACCCGTTGCGACTTTGGTAGAGCACTATGGTCCATTGACTTCATTAGGGATAGCGAGCAAAACTTTGGTCGGTATGTAGTCTACAATCGTGACTTCCGGTGCACATCAAATGATTCTTCCATAACCAGCTATTGGTTCGGTTCAAGAATTTGAGTTCGTTGGAACAATCCGAGAACTGTGTAAAGTATGAAGATACTAAGGCTTCCGCAGTATATACTCCACCATAAAAATGCCTCTTGTAAAGGAGAGTAAAGAAAAGGAAGGAGTGAAATCGTTTTCTTTGTAGTTTCAGTCTCGAGAAACGTAAGGGTTTTGCTCGCACATGGAAGAACATCAAATGTTAGAGACTACAAAGATGTTTTTCCTGTATTTATTCTTCTCTGGATCTTTTTCTTTGATGGGTTAAAGCTTGAGTCATCAATCAACCCATCAAATAAAGGTTGTAAATTAAAGTTCACTTCTTTTATTAATGATCTATTCAAAATAATACTAAAAAAAAGTGATATATACAAACTGGATAGCTCTATCGCACATCCTGAGGACACCAATTTGCATATCACGTGATTGAGTGGAGCCTATCACAGATTTGTATATTTATGATTCATACTTTTTTTTAGTTCTTGAAAAGGGGAAAAATAGGACTTAAAATTGGAAATGCTTCTGAAACTTTTGCGAAACGCGAGTTTGCGCCCGCTATTTTGTTTTTCACATTATCCACTCGCTCGCAGGTGTACATTGTTGATTAGCCCGAGATAGCGAACCAATCAGATTGCTTGAAACGCCAAGATCACTGAGTGTGTCTATACTAATTATTATTATTTTTTACCTGATGATGACCAAGTGTTGGAAATGTTTGGGTTTTACTTATTCAAATATAGCTTTGTATTTGGCTCAATTGTAGTTGAATTTGACTCTGAATTTGTAATTAAGACTGAATAGTATTCGAAGGTATCTATATCTTCGATCATGTCTTTGCGCACGCGCAAACCTCGACACCGATGGCAGAAAAGACTTCGCTTTGCCGATAAACACAAGATATTTGTAGATTTTGGGTATCTCTTTCACTGAGAAAAATATCCTTTAAAATTCAAATTATTAAGTCTCAGGGAACGTTCCATCTCTTAGATAAAAATTACGTAAGTAATAGAAAGTTGTTTATGGAATACCCACTGTGTTGATAAGGTTGCAATAAAGATCTTACTTGGGCAAAAGTATGTTTATAAACAAGTTCATAGTCGAAAAGCAATTCTTTTTTTATGTTTTTCATAACTTAATTAAAAACGTAAATAGACGAAGAAAATCAAATTAATCTTTCATTGCTTTTAAATTTTTAACTCATGACCTTGGTGATAGATGTATCGCGAGCAAACACCCATAGAAATCACTCGAGTAGCCCATAACTATTGCCTAGTCGTAGAATTGGTTCGAGATTTTTAACCAAAATGTTCTCAAAAATCACCATTATTCTTTTCTTTCTTTTTTCATACTATTGCTATGGCGACGAGGCCTGTTGTGGGCGTTTCATGGAGTCTTTTGATTCGCTTTTATACAACCGGGTCCTGATCGGCCGGGTGATCAAGTCGTTGTTCACTCGTCGAGGAATTTTCTCTTGTGCTTACAGATGCTTGTCTCTCCCGTCTTGTTCATCATACAACTACCAAACATTGGAGTCCGACTATGGCGTCTGTGAGTTAAACGGAAAAGAAGGCGGACAGGAAACCTTAAAAGAAAGAGCTGGGTTTGTTTTCGCACGACGGAGAAAGGTAACTCCCTTGATCTTTATTTTATTCGCTAGTTTGTCTTTTCTAAATTACCTTCAAAATCTAAGCATTTTGTCAAGTTAAAAACTAACAATGGAAGCAACGAAAAGTTGAAGACTGCAACCACTGCATTATTCAATCTATAGGCCGGGATACTTTGACTAAGTGACAACATTGTTAGAATTGGTACGCTTTCCAAATTAAGACTAATGAGAGAAGTGCTTTTATATCAACTCAAAGAGTTCTTTTCTTGCTGAAAGAAAGACTTGCAAGGACTCGTGAACGTTTCACCATTTTACGTTCTTTATTATTCTTTCAGACGCCACGCAGCTGCAAAGAGGCAAGAGAGCTGACCATTAAGCCTGCATCGGCCTATTTCTGTATCAAAGACAACAACGGTGATATGTTTAAAGTCTATTGCGATTTCACCTCAGAGCCCGGTTGGGCCTGGACTCTAGTTATGTCAGAAAGCTTAGAGAACGTTGGCAAACCTTTCACCCGACAGGCTTTGTTCACAAATGAGCCAATGAGCCCAGAGGTTCCCAACTGGGAGGCGTACAGGCTTCAATTAGACCGCATGAAAGGGTTGAGATCTGAGTCGACACACTGGCGAATAACTTGCAGCTTCGATCCTGCGAGCCTTGTCAACTATCGAGATTACGTTCGAGCAAAGTTTAAAAACTTTGACTTGTTAACTTATGTTGGCGATGCAACTTGCGAACACGTGGATTACATTAACGTCCATGGACACAGCTGTGAAAACTGCACTGCGCTTTGGTATCAATCCACCGGGTACATTTTAGTCCATCGAAGCTTTGATACCCGTTGCGACTTTGGTAGAGCACCAGGGTCCATTCACTCCAATGGGGATAGTGAGCAAAACTTTGGCCGGTATGTAGTCTGCAATCATAACTTCCGATGCACATCAAATAGCTCTGCCACAACCAGCTATTGGTTCGGTTCAAGAATTTGAGTTCGTTGGAACAATCTGAGAACTGTGTAAAGTACGAACAGAACCATACCTTACATAGTGTATACTTTACTTTTGGAAAAAGCCTCTAATTATTAATTGAACACGTCAAGAACTTTGAAAGTTTTGCAACATCGCAACGGAAACTTTTGAACTTTTTGTTTATTATTCTCATGAGTGAACGTTGTTTACTGTTTTACAAGTCAGTAGAGACTGGTTTTTAAAACACAAAGTGTCGAAAGAAAAAAAAAATAAAACGCACCTCCTTTGTCTCCAAACATATTTACATATCTAAAAGAATCAAACATCACTTCTTTGTGTAGATCAGATGTAAACAAAATTAAGAGTAACTGTCAGTAAAAATCAGAGAAATCGTGGACACAGCTCAAAATTCAATTTCGCCCCTACTTTGTCCATTGGTAGGCTTTAGTCCCATACATATGACAGCAATGTCCGTTTGTTAAAATTCTCGCTTGTATAAGAGAAATCTGCTGGAAACGGTTTACGATATTTTCTTGAACAAAACCTTTGACATTGTCATAATTCGTGGCGCTGTCGAGTGAGGCCCCGTCCACACGTATCCGGATATTTTTGAATCCGCAAATTTTTCTTTCCGGATACGAAAATATCCGCGTCCACACGTTATGTGCTCACAGCGTATTCAAGTCGAATTCGCCCGTCCACACGTATCCGGTTTCATTCCGGATTCACTCTATGACCTATATTGGTTACTGACCATGCGCTGCGGCATTTAGCAGTCGCGGGAATTCGATGTTTCAGTTTACGTTCAAACAGTTAAAAACTCGTCGAAATCAGGCGAAAAAGCTAAGAAGAATGACGGGAACAAGCCAGAATCATTTATATGGAGCGACGACTAGGTAGAGTTGTTATTGAACGTGACAATATAGTATAAAGCCGCAAAATCTATGGAGAACAGTGAACGAGAGTCGTGCCAGAGTAAATATGGTAATATTTTAGATCGCTTCGTAAATCATTATTTGCCTTTGATCGGCGGCCATATTTAACTTTGCGCGGTAAACATTGGCGACAATTTTGTGAGGTCATCGTATCAGAAAATATCCGGATTCGACCGTCCACACGTATCCAAAATGTTATCGGATTAAAAAATTTCCACTCTGGAGAGCGGATCAAAAAATATCCGGATTTGCTCGCGAATTCGCCGGCTACCTGTGGACGATAGTCGTATCCGGAAAGAAAAAGTTACGGATTCAAAAATATCCGGATACGTGTGGACGGGGCCTCAGTTCATCGTAAGTTTTAAATTAGTTTCACCCTAATCCTATTCGTCTGCTGCCTCTATAATTGATTGGCAGCACAACCAACTCATAACCTTTCCCTAAAAATAAATTATGATTCTTTTTCAAGTGCACCTACAGTGCCAAAAATTTATTTTATTTTATTAGATTCGCCGACAGGCAGGGACACCGCAACAGCTTGCGCCGATCACTGCGGGCCCTGTAAACCCACCCATCCCACCCCAGGGGAGGACATTTATCACACAGTAATCTCGTGCGTGAGAAATTAACGTCTCCTACCCCTAACCCTGCAGGAGACGGGACCTCCATTTATTCGTCCCTATCCGAGAAAATGCCCTTGGTACGCAATGAAATCGACCAGGAAATCTCCTGAGCCATGTTCGAGGATAGCTTCAACTTTCTACCGTTTTATTTCCCTGGGATCTTTTGTATCTGAACAACAAGACATTCCGGAAAGCCGTAAAACTCTTGAACAAAAGCTCATCTTTCAATCCGGCAGTCTAAATCCCACAGGGATCAACGAACGCTTTTCATTCCACGAATTTATTCCTTTTTTTCTCGTTGCCATGTTCCCACCAATAACGTAGCTCCATTTTCTGCCTTTAAAAGCACACACATCCCACAATTCCTCGATTCGCTCCTACGAAGGGCTAACGCTCGAAACGTCAGCTTTTGTAATCGTTACGGTGGCCAATTTACCATTTGAACTTTGTTGATATATCCAAATTATTCCTGAAGTAAGCCAATTTTCAATATCCGTCATTTTGAAGTAATTAGCACTTCAAATGTTTGCAGTTAAAAGTTTCCAATGTGAAGCTCCTCTAAATTGTTAAGCGAAGCAAAATCAATGGAATAAGTTAAATATGCACCGGAACAAAATGTAGAGGTACACGTAACAGAAATGGGTCGAGAAACGCCAAAATCTACTGTGACCTCGTCTTTACGTGTTTGGTTCGTCATGACATGTTAGTCTGTTTCGTGCTAAATTCTGCTTTCTCCTTTTCACAAGCCACCTTTACTAAGTAAGTCGGCTTCATGTTGGTGGCGTCTCCTATCGAACACTTTTCGGTGTTGCGCTGGCAGACATGAAAACACCTGATACATTGCAACAATCGAGGACCGTTCAACGCGGTTCGATCACTTGTCTGATCTGTCACGCAATTGAATAACAGGCATCGTCTAAGCCGTGTATGACAAGCCAAGTGTAGCAATATTCAATACTAAAATTCAATTTCAATTCAATGAAATTCGATTTCAATTCAAGTTCAATTCAATGAAAATTCAAGTTCAATTCAATGAAATTCAATTTCAATTCAATGAAAATTCAAGTTCAATTAGATGAAAATTCAATTTCAATTCAATGAAAATTCAAGTTCAATTCAATGAAAATTCAAGTT